AAATAGCATGTCAAATTAAGAACAAAGACTAATTTCTTTCTATTATACATAAAAATATACTTACACATGTACTATTTTTCTAAGATCTACCTACATAAATTTGCGTCTATTTTCTTTATGACAGAGTCACTGTGATCTAAAAACCCAATTTGCACATGACATTAAATTGGGAAAAACATTTCCCTGTACTTCACTGCTACAGTATTGTGGACTAGGTATTATCTCACCCGTATGCTAACATCCTCATTCTCTTTCTCTGATGGGCTATCCATTAGCCACCATTTATCTTAGAAATTCAAGAAAATTTTAAGGAATTTTCAGAATTTTAACTTCTCTTTGTATCCTGCCGAAGAAGTTTGGTGTGTTAGTAAAGACGGGACTTCCAACTAAGTGGCAACTAAGCAAAGCCCTTACATAAAGCTTAGAACAGGATTTCATAAATAGTTCCAATGAAAGACATTTGGAAATAAGCAGAAACAAAATGTCACATTCATGAAAATATTATTTTCAGAAAACCACCTGAAAATTCAAATCAAGTACTATCATTTGAATATTAAAATCAACCATAAAACAAAATGTAAAAGAATGATAATACATACATCAGCTTTCAATGGTAGCTGGTTATTAAAAAAGAGTATCTGAGGGTATATTCGAATTTCATCTCTTCAGATTGTGCAGCTCAGATAAATGTTTATTTTACTGAAAATATTTGCAAAATTACAATATAAATACATGATTATATTAAGATAGGATGACTATATATAATGTAGTCTTATCTATAGATATAAAATGAATGCAGTAAATATAGCACACTCTTGATGAATTGTTAGTACACAGTGTTTCTCAGTGAAGTACATACAACCTATTATTAAGCAACAATGATCTAGTTTTCAAATGTACATCTTAGGAAGTTTGTAGGATAAAAGGATACACTAAATCTCCCAATACCCTTCTCAGTTGGTGAATTAGTAGTACCTGTGTAATTTCTGAAATATCGTATTTAAACAATTGTTCTTATGCTCTATGCATTTCCTTAACTTGAAATTTCTTTCTTTAGTCTGGCTGTTTTTAAAATAATGCCATTTCAAGCTATCTATACTTTTAATTCTACAGTATCAAATACTGCTTTTTTATTAGTTATCTAAACATATCAACAATGAAACAAAATCATTAAAAAAATTTTTATCTGGACAAATTCCCGAAATTAACTCTCAGGGTATTAAGAGGAGTCTCAACTAAATATCGTCTCGACTGTAATACTAACTCAGGTTAGAAATAGTTTTAAAAATTTATTATAGTCTTTAAGAATACAAATATGAACTCTACTTTAGAATTCTTTGTTAAATGTACTGGGATTGCTTCAAAAGCATCTTTTACCCTTCTCCATTACACTGATTTAATGGAAACCTGTTACTACAACAGTTCCAACACAAACATATGCATGCAAGAGATCCCCCTACGGGTTCTAACTACATAGTTACTGAAACACATCCCACCTGTCAAGTGGCAGAAATGTACATCTTCTATATACAAAAGATAAAGTGCATTTTTAAATTAGTGAACTGACAGATTGTCTGCCTGGACCATATAGCTTTCAAATAGACAAATGTGAAATTCTCCCATTAGAACCCATTATTTTAAGAGGTTCCAATTAGCTTTTCCACCCTGTCATTTATTTTTTTGGCCATGCTCTTTAGTGCAAATAAGCTTGTGTTTGACTCAAGTTTAAGGGACATGGCAGTTTGGGGCTTTAACAAGGAAAATTATAAAATGTGGCAGAACTTTAATACTTTTATAATACATTGCATCTTTTGCATATAAGCAACAGATTAGTGCTGCTTTCAGTTGCTAGGAGCATACTGCCAACTATTACAAGGAACCCGTTTCCAAATTTCATACTATTAGCTTATATTATTACAGTTTGGAGTATGTACCACATTATGCTTGGATTATTATGTGCAAACATCATCAGCGTTTTAGAATTATACAGTGAACTAGTACTTTTGGTTACTAACTTTCATGCTCATTTTTTTTTACTTCTAACTTCAGTTGCCTTAAGAGTTTAATGTCCTCAAGGCAGGAATTCTGTTATTTTGAAGAATACCATGTACACTTGCAGCTTCATTTATGTTACAAATGACAGTAAATAAAATGCATATTGCACAGATAAGAATAGTAGCTTATTTTATAAGATACATGGCAATACATGTTGTAATACCAGAGTTTTGAACTGTATTATATTTGATTATGGCTAATGAATTCTTGGGAACTTAAAGTATAAAGAATCATAGCATCATTTTGTTTTTCAGTCAATACATTAACTAAGAAAAAATGAAACCAAAGTACTGGCAGAAGGCTTACTGATTCTAGAATATATTCAATTGCCAGTACATATGCATCTATCTAACTTGTGGTTTTGAGATGGTAAAAACCTTGACGTTTACGTACAAGGTAGAAAATCTGGATGATTAACTAATTCTTTACTTAAATAATGTAAAACTAAACTTTGATAATACTGATATATAAAGAATTAAAGGTGTTTAAGTCTGACATAGTAACGTATGTATGCACATATATGTATATATACCTACATATGTATACATATTGACACACACACTCAAATCTTATCAGACTAAAAACCAAAACCAATCACTTTGACCTAATGGATATAAATATTTTAGAAAGGAAGATTTTAAGAGTATACACTCATAGCAATAGTAATAGGAACAATTGAATACTAGAATATTCACAGCTCCAGTTTACCAAAATCTGACAGGTTGATTATTATTAATAGGCACCATGATGGGCAGCAGTAACAATCAGTAGTACAGTAATTCAAGTGCACATCACTGCTTCATATACCAGAAACTACTTTTAAGCAAGCCTATATGATTATCTTACAGTTAGGACTGTTTAAAAATCCTTGCTACTCAACACCCACCATGTGCTATTAACTGTAGTACTAACATTCTCTTCTAACTTTCAGTTGTTCCAAAGTGATCCAGAAGGTCCACAATTATAATGAACTAATGAGATTCCTTTATACTACTTGAGGAAACATGAAATACAATCTGCAAACCAATACTAGTGTGTATGTCTGGGCTACTGATTGCTTGTTCTTAAGTAACATAAACCAATGAAATAAATTTTCTTAATTTATACCATAAAGTTTTCTTGGTGATCTTATTTAAATGTATTTGGGGACAAACCTTTGAAAGAAAAAAATCGTTAAAACAATTGTGAATTACTTATCCACGTAGCATATAAAAGAAGAGCTACATTCTGATCTCAATCCATGCAGCCATCTCTCAATCAATGAGAGCTATATTGGGGGATTGAAATCAGTGCTCTGGCTCTTAAAATGACTATTGTGTGGGAGGTAAATAAAGCCAAGATAAAAGACAATAATTTCATTCTGAATAAAATGCAGCTCAACAGATAAAATTTCAGTCAGTTAATACAGGATGGGTTGGTACACATATACACTATATCCACGTGTTTAAAAAATTGCTTAGGTGTTGAAAAATTGCTGTGGCACTTCCTGGAAAGTAATTTTTAATCAGGTAAATGGGTGAGTCTTGTGTAAAGTCAAAAACAGCACCTTGGAAAATGCTTGAATTTTCCTTTCAAATATATTTATAACCAATCTTTAAATAGTATTTTTCTCAGACTGAAAATCTGTATTCTTAATACTTTTTAGAAAAAAATGTCCTCCCTCCTCCCCCCACCCATGGAATTCAAACATCTGTAAAAGTCAGGTTTCTATTGGAAGTACTGACATAGTTTTAAGGATAGCAATTGCAAAAGTGCTACTAAAATATATTATTACAGATGTATTTTTGTATCAGTTAACTGGTGCACCAACCCCTCTGAGAAAGCGTTAAAGAAGCAGCATAAAATATAACACCTTGAGTCCAAGATAGATTTTGGGAAAAAAAACCTCACAATCTTCAAATTAGCATGAAAAGCTAAAACACCAAGATTTCCATAGCAAAGCCATTGGATGACGCCTCCCACTCAATAGTGACATTAAAGTAATTCCTGAAACTTTGGAAAGTCGATAAAAATATATGATACAATAAACAGGTGAAGATAGGATTGTAACTAGCTCAGAATAACCAATTAAAATTCTTCCATGGCTTTGATATGGCAACTAAAAACTGTAGGGTTACCACAAAATTTGAAATTATAAAATACTATAGTAACTCTTAGGAAATACTGTGACACTGTTTGAAGGTTTAATTAGGTAAGATTTGATCCATTAATGGTTATAGTTTAGTATTCAGTTATCCAATAGATGATATATTTCTATTTGTACTTTTATGAATAAATATATTTATATATACTTGAGGTCAAATTCTGTTTCTGTGGTAACTGTCCTACAGGTAAGCTTAGCAGCTTTTAATGACATAGGAATGAAATGCTTTTGGGGGGAACTTATTAAATAGAAATTCACACTTTTTTCACTTAAGTATATGTATCCTTTTTCAGGACTATGTCATAGTGCAATGTAAATCTTAGTTATGGTATTTAGAATGTCAGAATGTCACATTTTGTGCTGATTTGCATACTTCAATAGTCTGGAGCACTTGAAGCAGCTAAACTAGTTAGCTCTGGGAAGGCTGGAATTCCCATAAGCATTATAGTGATCTATGTGTAACATAACATTGAAAATCAGACTTCTTGAAGTATAAACTACTAGAGGTATTACTAATAACAAAGGGCCAAAAAAAGAGGAAAAACTTCTTCATATGATTATGGATCAGTACTTTTAGCCAATTTATGATTTTAAATTTTGCCTGATGGAGTTCAATTTCACTCTAGTCGAGGCATTCTTGTTCTTCACCACTGGCCCTTCTGCCATCCATTCTCTTTTCTTTATGGCTGTTGCAAATTTTCCTCATCTCTTCTTCATACTTGATAAAATTCTCCCCAAACCTTGTCCAAGCTTTGAACGGAACAGTAATAGTATTACGGTAAGGTGGTCTCACCTCACTTACCTTCAGGAATATTCCATATTTATTAGAGCCCACATCAAAGTAGAACCTTTTATTGTCCACTCTGAATGAAGTCCCCTCTGGGAGCTCAGGCGGGTCATCATCTCCACCTCTACGTTCTTCAATGTCCCCTTCACCATAGTCTTCAATCAGCTGAACCAAGGCATCACGAAACTCAATCATTCCTTGAGCTGGGAGGACAATAGTCTGTTCTTGGCCCAAACTGTGGCCAAAATAACCAATCATGCCAGTCCCCCGCATCATGGTTTGTCTAATCCTTAGGAAGCGACCCCGCTGATTTTCCTTTAGGTCTAGGTAATATTTCCTATTGTCCCTCTCTATGTAGTCTGTCTTGAGGACACTGTGAGGGTGCTCTTCGGACCCCACCGAGACGGGAGGGGAGGGTGCAGAGTGCTTCTGCCGCCTTCTGGAGCTTTGCTCTTTGCTGTGGCCATGCTCTTGCCGGTGGCCTTTCAGGCCCAGGTGGGCGTAGTGCTCGATGAAGTCCCCTAGACAGTCCTTCAGCTCAGCTGCCACCGACAGGGAGAGGGTCAGTTTACTCTTTCTGATGTTGTCCTGCCGGCCTCTCCCTATCCAGACTTCGGCTATCTTCAGGAACCGGCCTCTGGAGCTTTGCTTCACGTCTAGGTAAAACCTCTTTTTCTGGATGTCCACTCGTTTGGAGGCCAGCTCCTGGATTTCGGCTGCGCCCCCGGCCTGATTAGGGGTGGCTGAAGCCGCGTAGTGGGGGTAGTGGGAGTGCTGGGCCTGGGGATAGAGTCTACTCTTGCTTAGGCCAGAGCCCCCCACATTCTTGCCTCCGCGGCCGCGGCCGCCGCCGCCTCCTCCCCTTCGCCTGGCTCTTTCCATCTTCAGCTGCAAGTGACAAACAGACACACGGGGTGGGGTGGGGGAGGGGTGTTGAGAACAATCGCAGACGCCCCTCGGCCTGCGCTGTCCCCGCCGCCGCCCGGGACC